TTTCTTCCAAAAATCTCTTCTTGAAAAATTTAAATTCTTTAAGGAAAACCTTTGAGCGAATGCTTAGCAAAGATATGTAAACTACAGCTTTATTTGAAAACCTTCACTACATTTTGAAAAGATTATTGGGAAATGAGATAGAGGATGGCCATGAGGCAATATGTACAGTACAAAAATCCACTATGGACAACCTGATGACTGTTCTGTTTAGCTACCACATCAATAATAAAGAACATTTGTAAAATAACAATGGTATATAGTAAAATAAAATGTTTAAATAACACAAATAAAGTAATAATAAAATATATTCTTTTTTAATATTGCATGTATCAACCATTCCAACATCTCTATCACTGATGAAGCATATATGACTGTATTATTGTCCCTGCTTTGCAGACAAGGAAGCTAGAACCCAAGGTCACACAAACATTAAACATTTTCAGTATGATTTTTGGAGTTTGTACTGTTTTTCATGACACTTAAATACCTCATACGAATGCAGGAAAAATCCTAAACCAATAAATTTGCTGAAAGCCTTCTCTTGAAAATAGCCACCAATAAAATTGTATCAGAAGAATTTAAAAGTTTGAATTTATGCAGTAACATTTTATATAAGATAATCATATTCAAACTCCCAACTATTTTTGCTCCATACACAATAGTCATAATGCTCACTTATTTAAGATTTAAAATTTTACATCTCCTGAAATGCCCAAGTGATTCTTTAAGTTGGTTCCTTTCCTTTATTCTAACAGCTGGACTAATGCACAGCAGACAGGTGTGAAATGCCTCTCACCATCCTATGAACCTCCCATTCTAAAGCTCTTTTAAGGAAGGAATTATTGAGAAATTATTGAGGAAGAACCAGAGGGATGATATCCCCCAGGCATTTTACAGAAGCTGATGTGTGTAGTTATAATTGAGCAATGAAGCCAATACCATAATAGCAGTCACATAGATGGTTTGAGATTTTCTTCTTTCTTTTTCTCCTGAGGGTTATCACAAGAATGGTTCATCCTGCTGAAATATTTTAGGGCCCATAAAAATATCATGGATATATATATATATATATATATAATCTCTCCTTCCCTAGACAAAATATCTCAAAGACTAGAGCTGCTGATGTTTACATTTCTGCATAATTATTTTGTGTATGTTGAACTTTTTATCAATTGATCATAAGATATTTTGTATTCCTGGACATTATCTAGACTTACAGTGTTGTTAAGAATTGGAAAATGCCAAAATGCAGAATTATTTTACCATTGTTTATCTTATTTTATATTTTGTTTCTGTGAGTAGAAACTAAAGTGAACTAGTTTTTTGTTTTTTTTTTAAATAAGTGCAGTCCTTAATTCATGTAGATGTTTTCCATGAGTCCATGCAGGGCCCTCTGAAATTTTATTTTATTTTATTTTAT